TTTACCAATGACTGGGTTAAGAGAGAAACAGTTGGCCAGGGCCTAATGGCCGTGCATCCAGGCCAGAGCATCTCGTGAATCTGACTTTCAGAGCCTTGGGCCGCAACTTCACACCACAGCTGAATGTTGGAAAATGGTTAGGTTTCCATCAGGCCAAGCCCAGAGCCTCCATAATGAAGGCCATCAAAGGGAGGAGGCAGGTCACTGGGATTCTCCATTTTGGTGGCAGGACAGTTGAACAAAATGCATTCTGGGAGGCAGGTCATTCAGAGCCTCTTGCTAATGACATTGGAAACTTGTTAGTAATTGAGGTGTTTGGGAATAAAATCAACAGTATTGCCTGAGTGCCAGAGGGAATCTGATTACATTGAGAATTTCTAATTAACATCCACTAAAATGATTTCTGAACTTGAGGTGATCTGTTCCTCCACAAAAGAAAATGAGTATGCAGAGAAGGGACCAGTGCCCTCAGAGTCAGTGTCCATTGGAAAAGTTCCTCGTTCAGTGTGCAGGGCTCAGCTCAGGATGTTGTGGCCATCAGACCTGACCAGTACACTCTGTCCCTGGACCAAGAATTACAGGGCCCACAAATAAAAGCTACACAGGGCAGCAGATGGCCCAGTTCCCTCTAAAATGGCAGTCTGGTAGGATTAGACTATGACAGAAATAAATCAAATAAAAATATCACATGGGGGCCCTTCCTGGTGGCGCAGTGGGTTAAAGTACAGCACTGCATGCTAGCAGCAGCCACTTCAGTGCCAGTTCGATCCCCAGCCCCGGAGATCCACACGGTGCGGCAGACCTCTCCTCGCCCACCCGCTGCTCCCCTCAGCAGTGTACTTTGTCAACCTGCCTGTTCTGCTCCCCACTCTGTCTCTGGTGAATCCTCTTACCCGCTGCACCTCTGGTCTATACCCCATTTCTGTATGCATAAATAAATAAATCTTTTTAAAAAAATAACCGCATGGGGATTTTTACAGTTTCCTTAAAAACTTTAAGGAAGGCCCTCCCTGGTGGCGCAGTGGGTTAAAGCACAGCACTGAGAATCTAAAGCCGCTTCCGCATGAGTTCGATTCCCGCCTGCACCTCTGGTCTGTACCCCATTTCTGTATGCATAAATAAATAAATCTTTTTAAAAAAAATAACCGCATGGGGATTTTTACAGTTTCCTTAAAAACTTTAAGGAAAAACCCATGACATGGTGGCTCTCTGCCCTCCGGTGTCTGCGCAGGTGTCTCTCTGCAGGAGCCTGTCACTTTCAAGGACAGCTCTTCTTGCTTGCTTGTGTCTGTGCAAGCGTCCCTTACTTCCCTTTTGACAATAAACCTCCCCTTTTGGATGAAAAAAAAAAAGGTGAAATGAACTGTAATATTTTAGTCCAGTGATCATTAAATATGAATTTGGCTTCATAAAATACCACCTTTAAACATGCACTCAGCAGAGAAATTGTTGCCTTTCTTGCTGGTAGGGGCTTTGAAGTGCAGTGTGTATTTGCACTCACCGCTCCTCCCAGTGTGGGCTAGCTGCCCTGCAAGGATCTGCGGTCTGGAGTCACTGCGCTCAGCTGCTTCAAAGTGCCAGCCACTTCAAAGTGCCATTGTCACACCGTGTGGGTCTGCTGGGCTGAACGGGCTGACTAAGCCCCTGTCCTGGACATGCTGTTCGGCCTTTCTGGTACACAGCCCACTTGGCCCAGCCTATCAATTACTTAAACTGAAAGAATGCAAACTGCCGAGACTGCAGAGGTTCCGCTCAAGTTAAACAAGAGCAGGATGCTTAATATCCTGGAACAGTGAGTACACATCAGTAGGCATGACCAGGAGCGCCTGGGGAGACTGATGTGGACCTTTGCATCTCAGAGACCGATCAGATCAGGATGCCTTGTTATTAAGATAGACTGAGGAAGATGGAGTGGGGGGCGGAAGCCTGATTTTAATCTTTAAACAGGGCCATAAAACTAATCGGGATCTGCAGACTATCTCCCCCAGATGCCGAGATAACCTAAGCATACATTCACTTCCTTCTAACTTTTTTTTCTTTGTTCTCCTGCCTTGAGTAACTGACTCTGTAAAATCATTCAATCAATACAAAGGCCTGGCTCTGCCCTCTCGCAGAGTCCTGCCATCACAGCTTGCTCCTTAATTCCGTTTCTTTGGCAGTGTGGTGTTGCCTGAGGCAACAGCACTGCCTTTCCACAGACCCAGATATCACCCTCATGTCCTTTTGTGCCTTTGAACCCACAACCCCAGTACACTGCCCTGACATTCAGTAAAAAAAGTGAGAATGGGAAATGTGTGTGAATAAAGGAGCAGTCACTCAACATACAAGCTTTTGGGGGACTTTGGAAATGGAATTTTTTTTAACTGAGGTGACACAGGTTTAAAACACTGTGTATGGTTTAGGGGAAGAGGCTAACCTCTCCTCAGCTGTATGTCATCACACCACACCTGTCATAAAAGCACCCACAGCCCTTCACCCTAGACCATCAGGCCCTCTTTCTGTTACAGGACAGGGGGAAGGGTACCCCTGAAGCCCCAAACTTGCCTGATCCAAATAGGTTCTGCCATCTGCCATATCAAGCCAAAACATATAAAACTTTACTGAAAAGGAACTTTAATACAGTGAGTATACAACACAGAAGACAAAGAATATAATTTCTAAATCAACACCTGAAGTTACCCATCCCCTTGTGGGCAAAAGTCAACCCAAAAGGGATTGGCCCAAAGCAAGGCCTGAAAGCCCGCCATGAGACTAAAACACCTTCTGGCCGGGACCCATGGAAAAGAGTCTGAAATGGCCAGATAAGTCTGGGAGGAAAAGAGCAAAATCAAAATCAATATAAACACTGCCACAGTCACCTCCCCACAGGTGTCTCACCCACATCTGCCTTAACCAGTCCAGGGCCAGGAAACAAGCCCGGTTTCTTCCTTACATGCTTGCTGCTCCACATGGCTTCCTCAGGTCTCCTTCTGGCTCTCCATCCTGCTTCCTTCCTTTCTTCTTCTCTTTCTTCTCCTTTTTCTCTGCTCAGCCCCACCCTCCTTCTGGGTGGGGCAGGGAACCTGGAACTTCTCCTTTTCCTGGGGAACACCCTGTTACATTTCCCCAATATTTTAGCTGGTTAAGAAGAACAGTGAGCACAGGATACAACAGTTAGTCATCAGTAACCTTTGAATCCACGGAATTTCACTGTCATTTGACACAGGCACAAAAATACAAAGGTGATCATTGAGGGAGGAATTTATTTCCAGCGTAGGCTTTCAGGCCTCTTAGGAGACCCCAGAGAAACAGAGCAGGTCTGGTGAGACTGGGAGAGACAGTCCCTCCTCTAGCCACTCACTTCCATAGGAGGGACAGTTTAGCCCTGTGTCTAGAGATTGGGGGGAGCTTTCTGGGACAAGTGAGCAGCTGGCCAGGCTCATACCTTCTCTGTCCAAGATGCTGTCTGGAGGAGATACCTCTCCAGGAAGGACTGGCGGGCCCTGCAGGATACAGTCACCCCCTTCTGCAATTTGGTGATTGAGTTTGGTGATATGAAACCACATGCTGCCATCACTTAGCCAGTGATCAAGGAAGGCAAGGATTGAGATCTTGGGGAGGAAAGTGTTAAGTCATGGAATACCCTGGTGGTCCCCATTTGTGTGACAAAGGATGGTGAAGAAGTGACTAAAGTTTCCCTAAAGATCCCTAGAAACTGGTTTAAGGCAAGGGGCAGGGTCCAAAGGAAGGCTCTCAAGCCTGAAGCTAGGCCCAGCTAGGCCTGCCTTTAGCTGGATGTGGTGTGAGCTCTGCGATACTAACAGCTCTGTGGTACTAACAGCAACTAACAGCCCTTATGGGCTTTGTGCACCCACTCACCGCCCCAATTGTTCATGTCCCCAGACAGGGAATGACGTGAATAGTAATGAGACCTTGGTGTTTCTCATCTGTAGGAGCAAATCATCGTCATCATCATCATCATCATCATAAACAAGAACCATGTACCAAACAGTTAATGGATTATAAGACTCTGTTCTAAGTGATTCCCACACCTCAGATTCCCTCACTATAGATTGGGAATGAAGGGGAATCATCATCAACATGGCATTGCTAACACTTTCTGAAATGTTAGCTTATGCTAGGTCCTGTCCTCAGATCACTACACAGACTAGAGACAAGGCCCAACTTGACTGGATCCCCAACAGTTCTACCATAGCCTCTCCCCCTCTTGTCTTCACTTCACTCTCTGCCCAGGCAGCCCAGCCCCCTCCAGATACCCTGCAACACCGAGGCGAGGCGGGTCCCCTCTCACAGCCTCTGCAGGAACATCCCCACTGACTCCACCCCATGGCTGACCTCCCTGCTTGGACACCACTTCCCAGTGAGACCTCGCCTGGCCATGCCTTGAAAACCCTGGGCCCATAGCAGTGCCTGGGCCACAGCCGCTCCTCGGCACATTGGCACATTCTTGTTTAATCTGTCCAGTAAGGAACATCACCTGGCCATGGTGACGCTGGCCTTGGTCCCCCAGCCCAGCCTCCTGAGCAGCTGACATATTTAAGGGAAGTGAGTTCCAGGAACCCAGGGGAAGGCCACCTCCGAGGTGCTCAGGTGGCAACGGCTCTGAAAGAACCAGGTGCTTGGAGTAGGGTGGAGAAACATTTGTGCAGCTGGAACCCAAGGCACGAGGGGCCCCTGAACAGGCCAGCTAGATGGACAGCTCACAATGCTGGGGTGCTGGGGTTTTACTGTGAACCATGGAGACCCGGCAGGTCTTGCATGGGTTTTGTTTTTGCAAACACTAGTGTGGGTTTTGAACACGTTCCCTCTTGCCCTAGTTGGTGAAACAGATGGTTCAGGAACCAAGATGAGGGCATGGAGAACTCGTGGGGGCTCCCTAAGGCTACAGGAGCGGGGGACCGCCAAGTGCAGGGCCCCTGACCCTTAGCTCCCCCAAGTCGCAGAGCTGGGCTGACCGTCGTCCACCCCCAAAGACTGAGCCAGAGGCAGAAGGCCTTGGATATAATCGCCTTTATTTTCCGGCGGGCCTGTCAGGCGGCGGGGTGGGGCGGGGCCTCTAGGCCTTGGGGAGAGTTGGGGGCAGCGCCTCCTTGTCCTTTGCTCCGGCACCGGCACCGGGGAGATCGGGATCGGCCTGCGGGAGCTGGATGGGGGTTCGGGGGTCCCGAGCGCCCTTTGCCCTGTCACATGCACCCTCCCCGAGGCGCCCCAATTCCCACAGACCCCTCCTTCGGAGGGTCTGGGGCGCACCCCAGCCCGCCTCACCTCCACCCCGTCTCCTACCTTACGTTCACCAGCCCTGCCCTCAGCGGCGCCCAGAGTTTGGGCGAGGACCTGCCCCTCGAATTTATCCAGCTCCGCCTTCATCCTGGGGAGAAGGGGTGCAGGAGAGCAAGCGGAATGAGGTGGCGCGGGCTGGGGTGAAGAGAGGGGACTCCAGGAAGCCACGGGGTCACCCCTGTAGCTCGGGACCCGAAGACGCAGAGGTCGAGACCCCGCGGCCGGCCCCCAGGGGCCACCCCTTCCAGGAGGGGCATCTCGGGACGGCCTTGGGGGCACGGCCACGCTGCCCGCGGTCCCCGCTCCGGCCCAGGCCCTCACCCATCCTTCCAGGACGGCACGCTCGGGCCCTTGCGGGGCTCGGCCGGGACCTCGCGCGGCGCAGCTGGGGCCTCCCGCGGCGCGGCCGGGGCCTCACGGAACGCTCGCAGGCGCCGCTCCACCTCCCGCAGCTTGGCCCGCGCCTCATTCTCTGCGGGGGGCGTCGGGGCGTCGGGGCGGGGCCTCCACTCGGCTGCCCCGCCCCCTGGCCCTGCCGCGCCCAGGTCTCACCTTCAGCCAGCAGTTGCTCCCTGCTGCCCTGCAGAGTATGGATCTCCCAGGCCAGTCGGTGCTTGAGAATCTGCGCGGGCAGAGAGGACGCCTGTGTGGCTGTCCGTCCTCCGAGCCGCTCCACGCCGTTGGCAAGTCCTCACCTGGGTAGTCCACTCATTCAAACTATCTAACGATGGCCCGTGCCTGAGTGGGGGTGGGGGTGGGGAAACACATTCCCCCAATACTGCCCCAAGTCCCCTGTCCCTCTCAAACCTCACCTCGCCCCATCCCTACCCCTATTTGCTCTTGCTCAAACTGTGCGGCTCGGTGCAGCCTCAACCTCATCTCTCCTTCCCTCCGCCAGGCACAGTTGCTGTCTGCCAGATACCCCCCTGGCTTCCTGCCTCGTTGGTTGCCTTCCACCCCCCCCCAACACACACACCCACCCCCACCCCCCGCGTCTGCGTGCAGGTGTCACCTGCTCAGGACCCCTCCCTCCACCTCCCCACCATGACATCTACTTATTTTGTTTAGAATCTAGGTTAGCCTCCCCCTACCTCCAAACACCCTGGGTACCATCCTGTGCACAGAAGGGTCTCGAACCCTTTGTTTGGTTCCCCTCCTGCCTGGAATGCTGCCAGATGCACCCAGGGGCATTAGTTAGGTGAAGGAATGATCTGACCAGGGAGCCCCCTCTGGGTGAGCAGGAGGGAAGGAGGTTCAGCAAAGGGAACTGTGATGGTCCGGGCAGGGATGCCAGGTGTGGCATGGGGGAGGGCGAGAGGTGGCCAGATTTAAGGTGGGCGCTAAAGGACTGAGTAGCTGGGTGGGAGCAGCCAAGGTGCCAAGACTTGGGCGGCACAGTGACTTGATCCCCGGCCAGTCAGTGGGGACACTGAGGCGAGGGGAGCAGTGGCGTGGGCGGGAGGCGTTGGCGATGGCTCACGTGGAATTCCCACAGGTCCTTGTGCTGGCCTATCAAATGCTCCAGTTCTTCCACGTTCAACCTACGGGCCAACACCCAGCAATGAGGGACCAGGTGCTGGGAAGGCGCCCCAGCCTGGCCCTGTCTGGGGGCTCCTCACATGTAGGTCTTCAGATCTTTGCCCCAGGTTCCCTCTGCTTCCTTGATGGGTTTGGTGCCAGTAGCTGCTCTTCCGGCAGATTCTCCCTGATGCCCCACTCCCATTCTCCACCCAGTGCCACACCAGACCCTAGACCTGGGGCCACCCCAGGGTTACCCCAGCTTCCTCTGTCTGTGACTCTCTGGGACCTCAGAGTTATGGGCAGATGTTTCCTCCTGCATTGTGTTCTCCCTGGGGAGGGAAAGACAACCCCTGTCATTCTCCAGTTGGCCTCACGTTCCCTTCAGCGGGAGCCGGGCCTGGGAGTCTGTTCATAGCCTCCATCATTTTCCTCTCTTCTGCTGACGGCCTTTGAAACTGAATCGTCAGCCTGTCCCCCATCAAGTCATGTTGTCCTAAGACAACTTTATTTGGGGTGGGGGGGGGCAGTTTCATGTCATGGATTCTAGGCCCTGGCTTGCAGCCTGGATCTACTATTTATTTCATTGGGATCCTGGACAAGTTACTGAACTTTCCGGGGTCTGTTTCCTCCTCTGAACGATAATGGTAGTGCTGTGTGTGTGACACAAGCCCCAAATTTTTGTAATTTGTCATTATAAGGATCATGTAGATAAAATAACAGTTTGCAATGTTCTTAGGCTTAAGACTATCCGTCAGTTTTCCCCACACACTTAAAGTCATGGTGTACCCATGTGTGAAACGCTGGTCACAAGAATGTGTCAGGCCAAAGGTCAAAGGATGGAGAGATGAATGGACAGTTGGGTGGATGGTTAGCTGGATAGATGAGGAGTGGCTGGCTGAAGAGATGATGGCTGGTTTCAGAAACGATGAGGGAAGGGATGACAGTTGGGTGGAGAAATAAAGGGTGGTTGGAAGCATGACTAGATGTCTGGCTGGGTGGCTGGCGAAGCAGGGTACAGGCTATTCATTGGCAGGTGAGGGGGGGTGGCTGCCTGGCAGGATAACTATGGGTGCATGGGTGGGTGGGTGGCAGGGTGGGTAGATAGATGAGTTGCTGGGTAGTGGGGGATCTACATGAGCAGACACATAAAACACATGAATGGATTGCAGGAAAGCTGGATAACCAATAAGACAAGACTTAAGAGTAACATCAGTGGCTGAGATTTATTTGGTAAAGAAACTAGCAATGGATGATCAAATGGATGAGTTGGTTTGACCACCACCACCTGCTATCTGAGACAGGCAGGTAGTATCTGCCTGCTTTATTTGAAAGAAAGGGGAAATGAGTTGTGTGTGTCCAAGATTTGATTTTCCTAGTTCTTGCTGCCTCCTCCTTTGAGCTGAGGAATAAGGGTGGGAAGAGCTGGGCATGTCTCTTACCTCTGAGCCTCATTTTTCTTCCTCTGGCCATGCAGCTGGAGGATCCTCAGTGCCTCTGTGGGGAGAGGAACTAAGTGGGGCCTGGGAGGACTCTTGGGGAGCCAGGGGTGGCTGCAGTGAGGGCGCCCAGCTCACGGCAAGTACAGGAGGGCACTGAGCAAAGGCAGGGCTTGCTTCCAGGCAGGGGCAGCCGAGGGAGTGAACCGAGCAGGGGGAGCACTGACTTAGGGTTCAGTGAGATGCCTTGGCTGCCTGGGGACACGGGGCTTTCATGGGGTGCAGGATGGAACCAAAAAAAAAAAAAAGGAGCAGCTAGCCAGTACCTTGCTTTTTGCTCAACACCTCTTCTAGGTGCGCTTTCTCTCCACTCACTGGAAAACATGGCAACACTCAGCCTCCAGGGACACCCTCGGTGCCCCCACCACAACTTCATGCATGGTCATGCAGAAGGCAAGGTACCGCCCCAGGGGAGTTATTTTGCCACCCTTACACCCATCTCCTGGGGGGGGGGGCTGTCCATCCCCATCCAGCTCCGCCCCCCTCCAGGAATGTGCTTGCATTTCCTGTAAGGGGCAAAGGAGCGAAGAGCCTGAAGAATGTACAAGGTTTATGCTGAGGGTAGATATGACTAGAAATGAAAAGATACATGCCATGTAAGCTGGAAATAAGGCTATGAAGAAATACACAAGAAGGGAGAGGGCCAGAGAGAGGTGGGGCTCTGTTTCACTACAGCACTATGAGGTAGACCTGTGAGGGTGGAGCTGGAGCTGAGAGCAGACAGATGAGAGCAAGAGGCAAGCTGGATGGCGGAGGACTGGCAATGGAGGCACCAGCCTGTGCCAAGACCCTGAGGCATGCACAGGGCTGTCAGCAGTGGTCGGGGGTCGGTGGGCCCCTCTTTTGCCATCCTTACAGGAGTCCAACTCTTTGTGCAGGGCCTCCCAGAGGGCGCGTGTTTCTCCCAACTCGTCAGTAGATTTCTTCTTTGCTGGACCAAAGAAGAGAAGACAGTATGAGCACAGCGTCTAGTGCGCTCTTTCTTGCAGTCTGCACAGGTTATCTCTGAACAACCTGGTACGGTTACATGGGGAGGTGGGGGGAGGGGCAGGGAGGGACTGGGTCTTAGAAATGTGGACGTGAAGGTGTTCAAACTGTGAGTCCTTCCGGGCCAGCTGGCCAGGCTCGGTCCCAGTTTACCTTGCTGAAGTTCATTAATCCGGTTTATCAGTTCTTTGATCTGGGGCTCCAGGCTTCCCTCTGCGTGATAAAAAGACAAACAGAGCCACAGGTGACATGTCTGTCTATCTGTCTGAGGCAGACTGGGGCAGCAAGGCAGTTGGCACTGTCTCTACTACTGTCGGTCAACATGCACTTATTGGGTGACTGCTGTGTGCCGGGCTCTTTTAGAAGGCTTTGGGGGGTTGCAGCCTGGGGGGAGCATAGACACAGAACAAAGACACAGGACACGAAGGTGGGCGGCAGTATCTGCTGTGACAGGAAATAAAGTGAAGAAGGGCTGACGAGCATCAAGGTCCAAGGCGCCGCTTGTGCTAGGAAGGCTGGGGGTGATGTGAGGGAAGGCAGCTTTGCAGTGCTGGGTGGGAATATGGAGCGGACCAGTGCAGAGCAGAGGGAGGGAAGCACACATCCCCGAACAATGGCCGAGGGGCTGGCATGGCCGTAGGTATCTCGTGAGCCAGTGGAGCACAGCAGGAGGCAAGATGGGTGGCGGTGCTGGCAGGTCACTCAGGTTTGTGGAACACGGGGAAGCTTTCTGATGGAATTCCGAGAGTGGCAGCCCAGGGAGACCCTCCCATTTGTTTGGCCCTGTTTAAAGTCTTGTAGGGTGAGACTTTTTTTTGGTCACTGTTGTCCATCTAGACTGCCAGGGGCTTCATGCGAAAGTGGGGAAATGTTGCTTTCAATGTGTGGGTGGCAGCCATCAAGTCCTCCAGTGACAGGACTCTAGTGAGTGATCTCTTTAACTCCCCACCACCCCAGCTGTTTCAGCCTTAGGTACACAGAGGTCTTCCTTGTCCTACCGCCTTCCAGGTGCAAAAATCCCCCTAGTCCTAGTGCTTTGGTCTCACTAGTATCCCTAACATTCTTGAGTTAAACCCAAGTCCTGAATTTTCTGAGGCTATCCAGCTCCTGGCACATCCAAGACCGGGGGTGCTCTCCGAGGTGCTGATCATAACTGACAACTCCTCAGGGGTTTCATTTGTGAAGCTGGGTGGGGTCTCTCTAAAATTCCAGGCCTGTAATTTTACTACCTAGGCAGCAGCCCAAATGCACTTAAGTATTGGACCATGGGGGCAGGATAGAAGGGAGGTCCCCTTTTATTTGTAGCAGATCAAAGCATTGTAATATTTCAAGGTGGGCAGGGAAGGACCCAGCCAATCTCACATGCAGCCAGCACCCTGCTCCAGCCCTAATATGGGTGCTAGCTGCAGAAGCAAAGCTGTTGATCTTGCCTCTTGTATACAAAAGGGTGGAGAGAAAAGTGCTTACCCAGGAATGTGTTGTTTTCAGTATCTACAAATATAAGAATTTAAAAAACAGTTGCTGTTGGCCTGTGGGTCAGGGAAATGGATGCAGGTGTGTGTATGAAGAGGGCTGTGTGAGAGTTAAAAAGTAGGTGGACGCCGAAGGAGACTCCTGCTCCCCACTCCCACCACCCCCTTATAGTTAGAACTATAAAGCATCCCTTTGTGCATCTTTAGTTTTAAACTTGTATAAGGGCAAAGTGCAGTGGGATAGATTCCCCAGGTTGTGAGTGGAGGGGGCTGGGTTTGAACCACCTCTGCTTGGCTCAAAACCCAGCCTGAGCCCTCAATGCAAGCAGATACACGACCTTCCTGCAGCTTCTTCACCATTGTCACCAAGTCTTCATTCTTCTTTGAGGACTTGTTCTTCCCTGTGGAGATGAAAATCAGAATTACGGATCCAGTGAGAGTGAGAGGGGACTGAAGCAAATTCCAGGCCTCTCTGGGAAAGGAAGGCAGGCCCCACGGGTTTGCAGATACCCTTGGGCTGGAAACCGAGAGCCTGACGGGCAGCTTCTCGCCAGCACAGGGCTCCTGCCTGGCCCTAGTCTCTGCACTTCCTGGTGTATACTGGATCAATCAGGCACCCTTATAGTCAGCTTCTCCCGGAGACATCAAAGGACACCAGAGTCCCTTTAAAGAAACTCAGGTTCTGTTGTTGTTGCTGTTCAAGATCAGTATGAATTCCTACTGCAATTCACCACTGCAATATGGCAGGGTGATTTTATAGGCACTTCTTTTCATTTATTATAGATCAGTTTGCAAATTCATAATGAACTGACAGATTTAGGGAGTAGTGATTAATAGCTACTCACACCCAAAAAACAACCAGAGTTTTCATGAGAATGTCATCATCATCTAAATTCTGGGGAATGCAATGGGAGAGTCTGGTTTCTTCAATAAATAAATTGCAAAGAAGAAACAGAGGGAGAGGAGCAACTACTGATTAAGAGAGACTTGATACATATCAACCAGTTGTAATGACTGGCTCTAACTTAAATCCTGATCAAATACACTTTTCTCCATACAAACGTCTATATTTTTTTAAAACATGAGCCAGCAGCAGCAAAATAATACCTTGAAAGCACTAATAAAAAAAATCCTAGTGCCCCACTCTTCTCTGAGGGAAACTGGGGATAAAAGGCAGCTCACAAAACATGATAGCCACAATGCAGCTTGAGAAATGCCAATCCAGTCATATAAATGACCCTCTATTCCTCCCTTCCACTCCTCTAAGATCAAATGGGTCACATGTTTGTATGTGGAGATAATTCAATTCGCATACAACCACATGTCCCCTCTAGCTATATAACTGGGATGACCATAATGGTGTTCTTGTTTTTCTCATTGGACACTTTAGACTAGTGATGCTTCTATTCTCTTAGTGATCCACTGAGCAAATACACCAGGATTTCAGAGGAGTGCCCTAATGATGGGTATTTAGGTTGTTTTCCATCTTTTGCTGTTACCAAAAATTAGTTACTCTGTGTTTTAGTTTGTCAGGCTGCTGTAAAAAAGAAAAATACAAACTGAGTCTTCCTTTGAGGTTTGCATATGTCTTCATCTGGCATTTCTGTGTCTACATTTTCTTTTTAAAAGGACACCAGTCATTGTATTAGGGTCCTCCTTCACCTAATATGACTCCATCTTAGCTACGTTTGCAAAGATCCCATAACCAAAAAAGGTCATCTTTTGCAGTTCTACTGGACATAATTTTGGGGCAGGGGAACCACAATTTAGCTCAGTACACCATCCTTGTGCATTCTCTGCACACATATGGGGGTGTATTTACTGGATAAACTGAGAAAATGTGCTTGTGTACTGGAGACTTGAAGTATCTGGGGATGAAATGTCTGGTGCTGGTTTACAAATATTTCAGCACAGGAGAAACGCAGCTGAAGCAACTATGAGTGAGTGTAGATGACGTCAGGTCTAGTGATGAGTCAGACTCTTCCGAGTATTCTCTCTACTCTCATGTGCATTGAAAATTTTCATTATGGAAAATTATTTCTCAAACAATTTCATAAACATTTGAACCTGCCAGATCAAAGATGAGGTTCCTTATTAAATGTGACTAATAGGATGAGACTGTTCTATACCTGCCTCAAGCAGCTTGGTAAAAGATTCCTTCCTCAGAGTCTACAGCCAAGCAGTATCCATCCTTTTTTCATTTTCCCACTATGATATACCGAAGCTATCTCCTTTCAAAATTTCTGGTAGTACGTATCAAAGCTCAACTCTGCATCCTAAATTCCATTTCTAGGAACTTACAGAAATGATGAGGGATGACTGGTTAGATGTTCAGTGTTTCAGTGTATGAATCTTAAAAGGTGGAAAGAACCTGAAAATGCCTGCATTTTCAACACTCATAGCCTGGATTTCTTTGCAGTCATTAAAAATTCTGTATAAATCAATGTTTCTTAATTATTAAATTTGGCTGAACATTTGGTATAACGTTTACTTTTTTTGGTTGAAATCTTTTACAAATTGTTATATATTAATTTTGCATTTGGAATTTTCAAATTACTTAGTAAAAAAACAAAACGTGGAACTGGATTAAGAAGGGAGCCTTCCCTTTCCACCATCCCCTTCCCCAAGCTGCTTCCATGCCCAAACGTAACCACTGTCAAATGGTTGGGTAAAGCCATTCAGATCTTGTAGTAAAATGTATTTTATGTTTTGCTTTAATTCTCCCTTTCCAAACCAAAGAGCTTTCATTCTGAAGATCAAACACTGTTCAAATACATGCCTGTTCTGCTCCCCACTCTCTCTGGTGAATTCTCTCATCGCCCACATCTCCAGCCAACACCCCAGTTCTTGTATGCATAAATAAGTCTTTTAAAAAATGAAATTTCCCCTTCTCCCCTTGACCTATGTCTCTTTGCCCTTCTCTGATATAGTCAGGTTGGTATGGCTCCTCTTGAGACATTTTGTTTTTGAAATATTCGTACTAGGTGGAAATGAAACAAAAAAGTTAAGGCCACCTTAGTCAAGGGGAAAGGGAGGTGTCTAATACTTTCTTTTTAGATTATATTTTCATGTTGAAAATTATAAAATGTTTATTAAATCCTTAAGAAAATGTTCATTATGAAACATTTCAAATGCACATGAGTAGAGGATACTCGGAAGAGTCTGACACATCACCAGACCTGACGTCGCCCACACTCACTCATAGTTGCTTCAGCTATGTTTCTCTTGTGCTAAAATATTTGCAAACCAGCACCAGATATTTCATCCCCAGATACCTCGAAGTCTCCAGTACACCAGCACATTTTCCCAGATGACCCCAGCCCCAAAGTAATGTCACCCAACACCTAGAACCTGTGTTGTTCCCCAATTGTCTATGCAGATCTTTTACAACCAGCCTTTGCACCAGTCGGAAAGCTCCATTTTGTTTCTCTCCATGGCGTTTCCAGTTCTAGTTATGAGCTAAAAGCATGGGTGCTCAGTATACCTTTTAAGAAACCTAACCAAAAAACATCTTGCACATTAAAAAAAAAAATTCCATTTAATAAAACAAGACAGCCTGTGGGACATGAGACCCCTTTTTGAAGATTTTTATTTTGAAATAATTTCAGATGTGCATAAAGGTTGTAGAAATAGGCCCCAGTGCCCGTTTGTTCTTGTATCAGATTTCCCACCTGTGAGCATTTCTGTACCATTACTGCAGGCATGATGGCTCATGACTCATACACATTCCAGCGTATATATCCTACATACAGGGGGACTCCAGCAGGTCCATGAAACCCCGGGTGTTAATGTGCATCCATTGCTAATATTTATGATCCTTAATGTCATTCAAAAATCTCACTTCAATTTTACAATTATGTAGTACTACATACATTTTAATTGCTTTTTCTGCCCCTTAAAATGCCCACCACACCCACATTCCACAATATGCATGAACAGATCTATACTGTGCCACTTCCTTGATTGCTCCTTGTGTTTTGTCCCCAACAATACTCCACACATCTGTATATTCTAGGGTCTGATTTGCAGGACTGAAGATGTCCTAAAAGTATCCTAAATACAGCCTACTAAGCTGCCTCGGAGCTACATCCTTACTGGTCAGTTCTGCCTGGCAGGGAAGAAATGGCCCATCTCCCCACAGAGTAATCCATATTAGATGGGCGCTTTTCCTTTATAAAAGCCAGTTCTGGGTGGGCTGAAACTCTTGATATGCTTTTCAATTTTCTCTATGGCAAGTGAACTTAATTCCTCTCTTCAATTTTGACACATTTGAAAGCTTGATACTAAAATCATCTTGCAGCTCAGTAGCAGCTACAGCAAGCACTTACTACATGAGATGTATTTGCATCTTATTTCTGTCTGTCCATTGTTAAAAGCTGGTACTTAATGTGTGGCTCACACCTAAGAGAGCTCTCTGTGTTAGCCACTTCATTATTCACACAGCAAAAATTACTGAGCACCTACTACATGCCAAGGAGGCACTGTTTTAAGGTGCTAGGAAACAGCAGTGAACAGTCTGTCTTCATGGAGCTCAATCCTAGGACAGATAATAAACAAGTAAATAATCAAAATTCTTGCTGATGTCTGCATAGATAGGTCTGGAGAGATGCAACCCAACATGTTTATTATTATAATAGTAAAAAGAGTGCAGAAATGGGGTGGGAGATGAGTTAGAGAGAAAAGGAAGGACAGAAGGTTGAGAGCTGCTTAACAGTGGCAGGCACACGGACCTTCTCATGCTTCTTTCAGTACTTCAGAACATTGTGAACATCCCTATCATTTTAAAAAGCCACTGGCATAGTAGTGCGTCGCTTCATCTTTTGGCTAGACAATTGACAACAGTCCCCAGAATGATTTACATTTCCCTTCTCGTTAGCGTGGGAGTGTTAGAGGCAGGACACACTGGTGTGGGAGGTGTTTTCTCAACAAAACGCCCAGGAGAAAAGCGGCTGTCCGTGGGAGTGGCCACTCTGTCTCCTTGCAAAATGTGGCGTGAAATAATACCGAGAACTAGGACTAATTTTCTTCGATGTGTGACAGCAGCAGCGTAATTTTTGTGACTATCCACAGCCGACCCCCCCCTCCCTTTTTGACAATATGCACAATAAAATATTTAGCCTCTTTAAAATACTCCGGCAATATACCCAATGAGGCTGACACGAATTAATCTACATGGTAAGAACAGGCATTTGCCATTCATCTCCATTTTGTCCAACAGTGTATTTTAAATATGGTTTCCACCTTTACTTTTTTATTTTAGTAGCGCTACCGATGATAGCACAAACGCCCCCTCCCTCCTACCCTGAAGGTGCCTACTTGCCTCCACTACCTTCAGCCGCCTGAGCCTCCGCTGCGGATTCGGGCAGGTCCTCCTTCACAGGCTCCATCTTCCCTGCCTTTGTGCGCATGCGCCTTGGACAGTGCGTGTTTAGGGGGAAAAAAAAAACCTGAGGGAGCAAGGCGCTGCAGTGCGCATGCGTGCAATGCGCCTTTTTCTCAACTGTTGCGCAGTGTGGAGGCGGGATGGGGCTTCAGCAACAGGCATGCGCGGGGGCCACACCTAGCTCAAGGTGAACAATTGCTGCCTGCGCTATACCAGGAAGCCTGCAACTCTGTTCATGAAAAACATTGCCTGAACTAGCATCTTGGGGGTGGCAGTGTGACTGTCGGGTACACACATGGACTCTAGGCTATGTCGGTTGCTGGTGTGCGCGGGCTGGGGAAATCGGGGATCAGGTGCATCCCTGTGCAGTGGCACCAATGGATCCCAGTTCTTTTGTTCACGTCCTCATTTAACAGCCTGTGAGAGGCTCGTGATGTCCATTTCATGGTTAAGCAGTACGAACTTTAGAAGTTAAGTGCAACTCCTATGTAAAAACTGCGAGTCTCAAATCCTGTGTGAAGTCAGGTGCTTTGCCCTGTGATGTCCAGGTAGACGAAAGCTGGAGGTCACCTTCTCCTTAACATTAGCAGCAGCCAAATGGGTGGGGATCATATTTGAAAGGGTACAGATGAAGTACATTATGGGCAAAAGAAATGTTCTTCTGGGGCATGGTTTAGGCCTCTCATGCAATTTTCTTTACATTATCCCCAGGCCAGTTTTGGGCAGAATGGCCCTGCTTTTCCAATTCCAGAGCTTCTGTGGTCCACCAAAGTGGCCTGAACACTCAGTGCTGAGATTTTGTGGAGGAGGCAGACCCCCTGATGGAGGACAGAGGGTGTTGTGGCCAGTTTTGGAGGGGACAGAGTCCAAGAGAGACTGGAACATCATCCAAGTGGAGGTGAGCCAGCGTAAGGGAAAGAGGGAGGCCTAAGGGTTTCAACAGAGGTGGAGGGGCTTGGGGGACACATGAGAGCTAGGGAGGCAGCCCACCTACCCAAACAGCAATTCTGCGACCGTATCATTTGTGGGCAGCCTCAGGTCTTACCCCTTTGCCCAGGTGGCCAGGGATCAGCCAAGACACCATCCCTCCCCACCTCATACTCAAGGTGGAAACAGAAGGTACCCTGTTCCCAGCTCTCCCCAATCTGAAAGCTCCACCTCTCACAGTCCGGTGAATGAGCCATTGTGGGGAGCTTGGTCGGCAGGGGCAGCTGGGGGTGCTGGGGGTGTGGAGTACTTAGGGGGATAACGAATGAAGAGCCGGTCTTCCTCTTTCTTCACCCAGCGCAGGAGTTTGGTCACTACCAAGATGGCACCTGCCTTGGTCACCAAGGGGCTGAGGCAGGTATAGAGCTCAAATTTGGAGGTCACCTGGGGATTTGAGAGGAAACAGTCAGTTGGGCTGGAGCTGGAGCTGGCCCTGCGCAATCCTGCCCAGCCCTACCCAGCCCAACCATGTTTCCTGCGTGAACATGTACCTGGCTGCTGCTTCAACCTGGTGATACCTGGTAACTGACTTAAGCAGGTAACCTGATATTACCATGTCACAGTGGGCCAGAGGTTCTTAGCCAATTCAAGGGATCAACTAGATCTAGTGGCCTCAACTGGGTGACTGACCTTGGGTGTGTGTGTGCTGCCTGGGCTTCAGTTTGCTCATTACTGGAATGGGGATAAACAACAACTGAACATCAAATGAGCACCTGCTATCTGCTGTATTCCAGCCTCCACACACCTGTTTTCCTCTCCTGTGGCCTGAACAGATGATGATTTCATTTAGTCCTCAAAGCAACCTGATGTCAAACCTGACCAGTTTACCAGTACATTCCGCACTGCCTCACATTGCTGTGCCCCTCGCTCCCTGTCCCGGCCACTCTCGCCTCTCACTGCTATTCCTTAAAGGCAAGCAGGCTCCACCCAGCATCTGCATGGTACTCTACCTCTGCCAGGCATGCTCTTCCTTCAGATACCTATTTGGCTACCTCCTCTCCTCACTTGGCCACCATCGCCTCAGGGTAGCACCCCCTGACCTGGGCCTGCCATTTCTTGGCTTCGAAATGACCTTCTCCACTAAAAGTTGAAGGCCTCCTTGGGAAAAATGGTTAATTTCACGATGAGCAGAGTAGAAAAGCAGCCTGGAACATTTTATGTCAGAAAGTAAGAGGTGCTCAAGCAGAAATGGGGAGTATTAACAAGCCACAGGGGTCAGCATGCTAAATCAGAGACCCTTTGTGTACCAAAAGATGTCACATGAAAGCATTTTTAGCTCACTGGGGAAAAAGAAAATCCCATAGGACCATACTGACAAAATTCAACAAGTAGAAAAAATTCTTCAATATGAGAGAATCACAACCAGTAAGTGTAGAAGAAATGATGGAATTAGAAAAATCATCATTCGATAACATCATTGTAGTAGATGCTGGGGGCAAGAAATCTTCACGGAATGAAAATGAGTGAAGGGATAATGAAAAACAACACTGGGGCCTCCATGGTGGCACAAGGGGTTAAGTCTCAGCACAATTAAGCTATCAGCAGCCCTTGCAGCATGAGTTCGATCCCGGCCAGGGAGGTGACCCAAATGGTGCAGCAGACCTCTCCTGTCTCACCAGCTGTTCCCCTCAGCAGTGTATTTCAATCAGCCTGTTCTGCTCACCCCTCTGTCTCTGATGAATCTTCTCACTTCCCAACCCCGATACCTCTGGCCTGCACCATAGCTCTTGAGTTCATAAATAAGTAAAATAAACCTTAAAAAAAAGGAAAACAGAACACTGACAATCACCAGAAGACACAAGTTAGAAAGAGGGAAAATGTAGATACTAACTTTGCAGTGAAGAAATCTGGCAGACATGTCCTTGAAGGCTAGGAGTCATCAACAAAGGCACACACTGACATTGTGGGCCTCCTTATGAGGCAGAGGGTATGACAGCTCTTCCGTGATATTCCTGCCAGCACTGTGTGACCCCAATTTAATTCTGATGAAATATCAGAAAAACTCAAGCAGAGGGACATTCTACAAATTAGCTGGCTGGTACTCTTGAAAAGTATCATGGTCATTTAAGACCAAGAAAGGACTATCGAATGTTCCAGAATACATAATGATCCAATATATGACCCTGGACTGGGTTCTGGGTTAGTCAAGGGGCACTGGTGAGACAATGATGAAACAGGAATGAAGTCTGTGGTTTAGCTGTTACTGTATTGAGTTTAAGCTGTCATGCTTATGTAAGTATCTGTAGAAACCTGGTGAAGAATATGCTTAGAGTAATTCTTTGTACTGTTTTCCAACTTCTTCATAAGTCTAAATTTGCTTGAAAACAGAAGTCAAACAAAATTTTAAAGTCACATCAAATCTCTGGCCTTGGACAAAGCCACACAATTTCAGGCATGCAGTACATGTGCACTAAATGGCATCGCCTGGGGGATTGGTTTCCAGTGGGGTTACCTTCAAACTCCCTGAAGACTTCAAGCTAGTCTGCTGGAAGTGAGGACAGGAGCCATAAAGAGGGAAGAAGTGCCAGGCGGAAGGCATGCCATGAGGCCAAGCACATGTGCTCCAGGAGCCTGGGGTTCATGAGCTGGTAGCAGTGGAACATGCATGGCATTCATGGGCAATCAGCAGGCACAGCGAGCGCCATTGTGGGGCCTCTCGAGTGCCAAAGACACTGTTCTGGCAGCGAATGGAGGGACAACAAGCAGAATGACATGACACTGGAGGACCGTCGACCTGGTGCTCGATCTTTGCTGGTTTCAAAGACAGGTGTGTAACAGCAGGAACAGTGCTGGAGACGAAGCAGAGCCTAGCTAACGGGCTGGAGTGCTCAGTAGAGGCTGTTATGCCTGCAGAGAACCCGGGGGAGGGGAAGGAGGCTTGAGGTGGGGCGTGAACTCAGGACTCTACCCGACTCACCCAGGCCAACAGCGTCTCCTTCTCAGCCACGTGGTAAATGAGGCGCAGGGGCCGAGAGGCGCTGTGGAGGCGCGCGTGCAGGCGGTGGTACAGGTCTGACAGCCGCTGCCGCTCCTCCTCTCTGCTGTAGGGGGCCTCCAGCTCAGGGCTGCAGTAGTGGGGGGAGGCAGGGGACAAGCTCAGTCAAAGACTTGCAGCTGGCCTATCTCCTCGCAGTTAGATTTCAGTTAAGCTAGAGAGCTAAGCTTCCCCCGTTAGACTTAGGGATTCTCAGTGACTAGACGCTCAGCTTCCCCATCAACCAAAGATCCCATGACTCCTAGATGCCTCCTCCCCATTAGAATAGGCGATTCCTTCATGTTGGTGCCTGACCCACCATCATCAGAGGCCCTTTCTATCTGGTCTTTCTAGAGCATGGCTGGTTCTCTCCCAAGTCATGTCTGGGAGATGCCGAACCTGCGTGTTAGAGAATCTTCCCGCCCCGCCAACTGCCCGCAAGGTCAGAGCCCACCTGGTAAACTGGGGCAGCTGGCGGTGGTGCTCTGGGATGTCCAGCGGCTTGTAGAGGAAGTGCCTGAGATCAGGTGCCCCCACAGCCTGCACACTGTAGGCAGGGGCAGTGGTTGATGGGGCAGTAGAAAAGCTGGCAGCCTCGGCCAGGGCACGCAGGGCCCCAAGGGAGTGCATGCCCTCTTCCACCAGGCGCCGGCAGGTGGCCATGTCATGAAAGGCTTCAGGGTCAGTGCCAAGAAGCAGCAGGCAGACAGGCGTGGCGTCCAGGCGGGCCACGTAGGCGTAGAAGAAACCATCCGGATTGAAGCGGGGCAGGCACACAGGTGCCCAGGCCTCACCTGCTGCAAAGGCCGGTGCACCCACCCAATCCAGCAGCAACTGCAGGTCTGCTGGGTCCAGCCGGCACTCAGCCAGCACAGTCCGCTCCTGGGCAGCAGTCACCAGTCGCCCACCAACCGCCAGCACCGACAGGGCCAGCCCGGGCGCCGTGCAGCGTCGAAGCAGTGCACCTAGGGCATCGCGCAGTGCACGAGCCAGGGGCACGCAGCGCACGGCACCCAGCAGCAGGGCCCCAGGGTCCCGTTCTACGCTGTCCAGAAGGCGGTCCAGCGTGCGCTCGGAGCCAGTCAGCAGGCGGCGGAGGTCATAGTTCTGCTTGTGTGCGAAGATGCGGGCCACGCTGGCTCGTGTCAACGTACTGACGATCTGGGCGTGCACCGCCAGCAGCTCCCCCCGCAGCTGGGCCGCCGACTGAGGCGTCCTGGACACGGCCACCAGCAGCAGTGGGCCCTGCTGCAGGAACACCAGCTTGTGGTCCTCTGGGTGAGGAAAAGGTAGGATGAAGTCAGGGGTAATGTCTGGTGGGGCTTTTCTCCCAGCATGTACACCCATGACCTGAGCTGGTGGGGTCACCAGAGTAAATACAAGCTGGGGGAGTCCGGATGAATATCGAGACAGGATGGGACACTAAGAGTCAGACCAAACACAGCAATGGAACAGGGAGCAGGGGAAGATGAAGTGAGGACGGACACAGAGCTAGAAAGACACTCAACTCAGCACACGGCCATTAAAGTCGTGTTCTGGGGCAACATGGAAGTCTCCAGCCAGGTCACTTCGATCCTGGTGAATTACTCATTTAGAACCCAGCAGGCTGAACAGACAAATGGACCGCCTCGCAACACATGTCGGGCAAGCCACCCACACGCACTGACTCAGCCCTGGCTGGCTGGCTCAGCCCCCGGCAGACAGACACACCTACAGCGGGCCAGCCAGCCAGGCATCTTCCCAGTCACCGCACCCTGGTCTGCGTCCTGCCCCTCTGCTCACCAGCGTAGATCGCACGGATGGCATCGCCTGCACTCTGCACGAAGGACACGAGGGCTGTCATCACTCCCATGGTCGTCGACAATGCCTCCACGCTGCCGTACCGTGAGTAGATGGGCTTGCCAGCCTCACTCAGCACGAACACGTGCTTCCGCTTGCTGCGCCAGTCCTCGTCACTGGGGTCCCCACCCTGGCCCCCAGAGCTGCTCTCCGGGTCACCCACAGGACTACTTTCAGAGGGGGCAGGATCCCAGAGACCACAGGTATAGGATGGAGCCTCCGGTGGGGACAGAGGTGACAGGTCCGGTAGCAGATCCTTGGCCTCAGATCCTGAAAGGGAGTCCTGGTGGTTCATGTGCCCAGGACCCACTAAACCCCGCCAGCCCATGACCCTGCCAAAACATAGGTTTCAGTGGCCTCCTAAAGCCCCCAGATTCCCATCTCTTGTCATTATTGAGCCAAGTATTACTCTCAATAACTGCCCTTCCCAAGTCTTCAAAGCACCCTGCTACCACCAAATGTTATTAGTATCTTCATCTTCAGTGACCCCTTTCACCTCCTTTTAATTCTTTTGATATCTACTCATCCCTTAATGGGCACTAATACATCTATGAATATTTGGTTTTTTGAATGTTCTCTCTTACTGCCCTAATCCCTAATTTCTTCTCACAATGATCCCTAATGACCCCATTGGCTCTCTGGGTCACCCACTTAGATTCCTGAAGATGACCACTAATTCTTCCAGTGTCTGACATGAATATCCACATAACACCCTGATCTTTAGGACTTATCCTACCCTCCTAATTACTCCCAATGTGATGTGCTGACATCCCAGTGACCCCACATAACATCACTAGTTCCTGGGTCTTGAATGACTCTCAATCACCACCCTGATCTACTATTTATGTCCAATCCACCCCCACAAGTGACTGCTATTAATCCCCCTTAACATCCAAAACTTCCAGCAACCTCTCCCAGCTCACCAATATCCACTCCCTTTCTGGAGTAACCATCATAATATCCATCAACACACGGGATTTTACTGGCCTACACTGCCTTCCCCATGACCACCTTTTACATTCACCAATGACATTTATTCCAGGAAGTGATCTCCTTCCCGGCCAAGAAAAACCATTATTACCAGCTGGCCTCTATGTCTCAATAATTTTCCCATGAAGAACCAAAGACTTCCTGTTCCCCTATGCTCTCATTGACATTCACTGACTTCCACATGTCTCCAATTACCAATTAAGCCAACAGTTCCCAAGTTCTCAAAGAAACCCTCCCTACTATTCTCAGTGATGTCCACTATTCTCCCCAAGAGACCCTTTAACACCCACTAATTCCAAAGTCGTCAATGAGTACCAAGTCCCCACCGACTCCCACAGATTCTCCACCTTTGCATATCCACCTGGGTCTTCAAAGACCCTGTCATTGTCCCTCTGATTTTCCAAACAATCTCACCGTTATTTCCTACCTCCCCACCCAGGATGGTCCCTACAGACTCCCTCCAACAACTCATCATTGGCTTCTTAATGTGATGTCGGTATTCTGAATGCTCCCTAGCCCCCCAACTTCCCACATCAATGATTCACCACAGCCTTCAGACACTGACTTTTAGATTGTCCTCCTATGACCTTACTTTGCTGTGTTCATTCAATGAACCTAAACATCCCAAATCTCCAGTGCCCCATTTTGACTGAATGATCCCTTTTTGTCTCCTCAGTGACCTAATTTCACACCAAGTCCCTAGTGAACATCCAGTGGGGTGCACTGGTTTTCATTCCTCAGTGATTTAGAGTACAGTGTGAGTCGACAGTGACTTCCTACTAGCCCTGCTGAGTTGGCTATTTCCCTGAGTCCCCAAAGATGCCTCTCAGGTTCCCATTCACTTCCCCCAACAGTGAGGCGGCTTAGGGATTCCTTCCCAGACCTTAGGGAGGGGCCGGAATACCTGTTTCTTCCAGGCCCCCATTCTCGGGTTCCACCGGGCCCTCCTGAACCCCTCCACCATCTCCAGCCGCCTCACTGGGGAGCCGAGCGTCTTCCAAGTCCTCGGCGTCCCCGGGGTCTGGGGCAGCAGTGTCTCCTCCGGTCTCCATCTGTACATCCCTGTGGAATAGGAAAAATGAGAGTGACAGCCGGCAAAAGAAACTTCTTAAAAGCCTTTCCTGAGCCTGGCTCCCTTGGATGCACTGCGGGGGTCTCGTGACCCAACATTTGCACCCTCCGAAAAGGGAGGCTCCAGCAAGCCTCTGGGAAAAAAGACACATAAACACCTGTTTAACGCCGCATCTCTGTTGCCCAGATATCACTAGTCGCCGCAGCAGCCGCGGGTCGCTTCACCTTCCGGGTGCGGCCGCTGTCTTGTCACACTTCCGGGTGCGACGCCGCTCCGAAGTCGCTTCCGCTCGCGAAGCTTCATTCTCTCCCGGTGGCGCCCGCCCCTCTCTCCCGCCGCCCGCCGGCGCTCCCTCACCGTTGACGAGGCTCGCGCCACTCCCGATCTATGCGGGATCGGCTTGTGAACCCAGTAAGGCCCTCAGCACGCCAGAGCAGGCGAGCCGGGCCCACTCTCAACGTTGAAGGCAGTCGGCTGGAAGGGGGCGCGGCACCGCTCAGCCAATCCCGAGTTCGGACGGCGGCTCGCCTTCTGCCCGATCCGCCCTACCACGCCGGCGTCTCAGCTCTCCCAATAGTGTGCGTTGAATTGCGGTTGTATCCGCCCATGTCTTGATTGACATATCCCTAGACCCAATGGAAGGCTGCTCCGGGCGAGCTCCTATTTCGTAGGGGTTGGCTCAGTGGAAGTCTTGATGGATAACCCTTTCGACCAATAGGCAAGCTGCAACGGAATTGAGGCCGCTTCACCCTCCCTTTTCCAGCAGGGAAGGCGGGACCTAGAAGGAGAGGCGGAAGAGCCGTAAAATAGAGTCTGGAGCGAATGCTTGACGGACAGTGGTCTCGCCCAGTAGGAGTGCCGTGCGCCGCGTGCTCGGCGCTAGTGGTTCGGTGGCTGAGGCGAGGGGCGGGCTATTCTGAAGCAGGAAGTACTGTGCGCGGGAATCGGCTTTCAGCCGGTGAAAGGCGTGACGGCCCCAGGGGAAAAGGCGGCGGGAGTCATGGGCTCTCTTGGGGCGCGAGGGAGTGAGTTTGCGAAGGCAACGCGAGACAACCTGGGGCTTGTTCAGACTGCTGGAGGCCAAGCTTATCTCTTGTCCGAAGACCAGGCTGTGCGGACTGGCCGTACTCAACACGTAAATGCCTTTGTATTAGTTACCTGTCGCTGCTGTCAGAACTTAGCACAGATTTAGTGACTTAAACCATCACGCATTTATTTTCTTATTCAACGTGTCTCTCACCAGGCGAAAAGTCAAGGTATTAGTGGGATTTTTCCCCCCTCTGGAGATTCCAGGAGAATCTGTTTCCCTGCCGTTCTCTGGCTGCTTCCGTCTCCGACTTTCTCCGATCATAGTCTACTTCCTCCAACGCCTGAACTGTCAGGATTGCATCTCTCTCAACCTTCTGTACTCGAATTTACTTTTCTGACCGAGAACCAAGAAGCATTCTCCAGTTTCCAAGACCCATGTGGTTAAATTGGGTCTGTCCAGATAATACAAAATGATCCCCTATTGCATGTCCTTAAATTTAAGCACACCTTTCTAGTCCATTTTGGGGTGATGTTCGTAGGTCCTTGGGGTAGAAAGTACTACGTAGGCTATAGATTCAATCAGCCCTGCATTCACATGTTAAAGTCCTCATCCCAGGCGGAATGGCCTTTGGACAGGGAGTCACATTTAGAGCTTCATGAGAGTGGGTCTTGGTGTGATTAGTGGCTTTATGAGAAGAGGCCAGAGCACTCTAGCTCGCTCTCTCTGCCCTCTGAGCCACAAAGAGGTGGCTGCAAATCGGGAAGCAGGCCCTTAACAGACACCAGATCTGCCCCCATCTTGATTTGGACTGCAGAACTGGGAGAAATAAATGTCTGGTTTTTAGAACCTGGTCTATGCTATTTTTTCTATGGCCGCTGGAACTGACTAGAACTCACCAACCCCATGTCACATTCCTACCTCTTCTTGCAGACGATCTAGGCAGCTGAAAGGTACTTGAGTTGATTTGCCTGACTTCTAAGGAGGATATCTGTGTTGACATCCAAAGGTGGACATCTCAGGAGAAATTCCTCAGGTAGGGTAAGCTGATCACCTTCCAGACTCTAGCCTCCCTCACCTAAACCTTGGCCTGTGTGCCTGGGAAATGAACCCTGCCTATCTTCCCAGGAAAGAAGCTTCTCTCTGCACATTATTTTTTTTAGTACATTATTCTTTGTCAGCCACCTGAGACATGGCACTCCCCTGAGCCTCTGGAATGGACTATATGGTTTTTTTTTGAAGATGTATTTACTTATTCATACAGAACTGGAGTACAGGCCAGAGGTGCAGGGGCGGTGAGAGGATTCACTAGAGACATTGGGGAGCAGAACAGGCCTACTGACGAAGTACACTGCTGAGGGGAGCAGTGGGTGGGTCAGGAGAGGTCTGCTGTGCCATGTGGGTCACCCCAGCCGGGATGGAACTTGCACTGAATCGGCTGTGGCCAGTTTGCAGTGCTGGTCCTAACTCACTGCACTGCCAGGGAGGGCCCTGGAATGGACTATTTGTAAAGTGTTCTTTTTCTGAGGGTATCTGTATATGATGAAGTGACTCCTAGGCTATGACTTCTATTGCCATGAGCTTTTCAGAATCTCAAGCAGTTAAAAATATATGCAGCAGTGGGCCCTCCCTGGTGGCACAGTGGTTTAAAGCACAGCACTAAGAAGCTTAAGCCACTTCCGCATGAGATCGATCCTGCCTGCCCAGGAGGTGATCACATGGCACGGCAGACCTCTCCTGACCCGCCTGCTGCTCCCCTCAGCAGTGTACTTCATCCATCTGCTGCCCCCTCTGTCCCTGATGAATCCTCTCACCCTCTGCATCTCTGGCCTGTACCCCAGTTCTGTACAAATAAATAAGTAAATCTTAAAAAAAATATATATATATATATATGCAGCAAGAATTACTGGGGAAAAGATGTCCAGCTGGGAACAGCAACAGGCCATACTTTGAATCTGCAGCAACTATGCTGAATCCCTTAGATCCTGCTGTTAAGGAAACTTGAGTCTTTGGTCTCTTCATTTTCTCCCCTTTATTATTCTCTGTTCTTTCTCCTTTTTCATGAACCCTTCCTTGTTCCATGCTGTTTCTCCTCTTCTTTGATTGCTATACTAGTCTCTGCTCTAGCTTGCCATTCCCTGTCTGTCATGCTTTTTTTTTTTTATACTGTTCTTTCTTTATTTTTTTGCACAGAAGAACTGGGGTATAAGCCAGGGATGTGTGGGAAGGGTGGAGGTGGTGGTGAGAGGATTTAGCAGTGACAGAGTGGGGAGTGGAATAGGTGGATCTACTGAAATACACTGCTGAGAGGAGCAGTGGGTGGGTCAGAGAGGTGTGCTCCCCCTATGTAGATTGGCTCCCTGGCAGGGATCAAACTCAGGACACAGTAGCACTGAGATGACGCCTAGGCCAGAGGCCCTGTCCATCATGCTTATCTCTGCTATGCCTTCCTGTTCTTCTTTACACCTTTCCCTGCCCTTCCTGTTTGTTCTTTGCTATTTTTCCTGACAGGTAATGAACAAAGGTATTGGCACCTGCTTACCTGATAGTGCTCATGAATAAAAATGGAACTGCTGACCAGTTGCCCCAGGGGTCAGCATTGTCTCCCCCAACTAGGGGCTTATCCTATTCACAAGACCACTAAAGATCTCAAGCTCTCATTTGTAGTTTTTAATCTCTTTGGAAATTGCATGCATATTTTATTGCTAAAGCACTTTAATGGTAAATTACAGAAGTTAAGATGTTTCATCAGCATTTTCATATCCAACAAAGAAACTGTTCTTTGATTGAATAATCTTATGTATTATATAACCAATTCACAATTTTTTTTTCATTATCCCTATAATGACTGTCTAGGTGGATCTAAAAAAGAAATCTAGACCCACTTAATAATTACTAGCCATTCTATTTAGTTATCATTATCTCTTTAGATCTCTCTCCTATGAAACATTTCAGTAGTTTTTTTATGTTATTCCACATTTTTGAAAAGTTCAGGCTGCTTATTGGATGGAAACTTCCTCCATTTTGGTTTGTCTGATAGTTCCTGTGTTCAAAAAATATTCATTAGGAGCCTCCCTGGTGATGCAGGGGTTAAAGTCAGCGCTGTCAAGCTATCACCAGCCACTGTGGCATGAGTTCAATCCCCAGCCAGGAGCTAATCCATGTGACACGCAGACCTCTCCTGCCTTACCTCAGCAGTGTATTTCAGTAGATCTGCTCTTGTTCTACTCTCTACTCCGTCTCTGGAGAATCCTCTTACCCCCACCCCCCACCTCTGGTCTACACCCAGTTCTTGTATACATAAATACAATTTAAAACCTTAAAAAAAAAACAAATATTAATTCAATAGTAAGTATCCTTGTGTCTGTCCTGTTTTGGCTACATTTATACAAATTTGTTCATTCACTTAATTGTGATTGTAAATGGTTATTTCCCTCCATGATATCCCGCACTGGTTTATATATAGGTACATATATATTATATAGAGAGATATTATAGACTCAATAGGTATATTATCAAGTACACTGAATTTTCTATGTTGATTCTATCACTTGTTACTTTAATATATTTATTAAATAATGTGGTTGTTTACAGTGACTTTTCAATTTCTCTTTTGGGTTTTCCTTAATTATAATCATATTGCTTGTCTTAGTTTATGGTGTGAGACACAGCCAGCCCTCTTTCAGGGCTGCGGTGTTGGGATGATGGCATCTTATGCCCAAGTCATTGTCAGGGTCTTGGCTCTACTTGACTAGCGTGGCATCAGTCACGTGAACCCCTGCTTCCTGCAGGCAGCCTGCACCTATATGATGGCTGGTCAGGATGGGGAACAAGGTCCATAGACAGCCCATTGCTAGAACTCCATACTCCATTCCTGAAGCCCACAGACCTACCCTCACTACTCCTGGACTCACCCCAATTCCGATATAAATACCTTCCCTTGCCTGCGTACCAACCCTACAGCCTTGCATGACTGACCCCAGAAATCTCATCATTATATTCACAACTGACATATCACAAAGCCTTGGACTCGTCTCACTGCCACAGACATCTCACCTCGCGAACGTAAGGTTCCATGCCATAGACACCTGTCTGAACATCACTTACTCTACAGACTGTGTACCATAGTCAAAATGGTCTCCTGTTGCAGCTATTTTCAATCTTTAATTCTAGACGTGCCTTCTGTGGACATTAATTCTGGGGAAATCTGATTCTGCTTCTGCAGATGCCTACTCAGGAACCCCAACACTCAGCACTGACCCCATAGGTACCCATCAATGTCTTCACACACACCACCATCACTAACCCCCAACACCACTCACTTATTCCACAATCCCAGTTCTGTAATCACTGAGATTTATGGGCAAGACCCCAGGTGGACCCAGAAAGGAGGTTTCAGAGATCCCATTTTTGCTTAAATA